GTCTATAACATTTCTTTTAACCATCACATTTCTATGACTCTAACCCTGCCTTTATGACTGTAACCATGACAACAAAGCTCCTCTAACCTTAGCAAAGCACTTCATCAGTCTGAATGATATTTTTTTATATTTCTAACCAAGCCGTCACCCTGTAACTGCCATATCAACAAAGGAGTTAATGGTTCTGTCTCCTGGTTAAGTTTCAAGAGTTTTGATTTAGTTTGTTTGTTCTGTTTCCCACACATTACTTCATGTTCAACATATTTTTCACACTAGCCACAGCACGATCACACAAACACCTGATCAGAAACAGTTTGATCTGATTAGTTTAGGAAGCAATGAAGAAGATAAGCTACATTAAGACTTGTTAAGTTGTGATTGGATGGCTAAAGGTTTGAAAAAATATATGTGATGTTAAAAATCATCTTAAAATGAACGTTATATTAGTAATATAATAATTTATAATATGAACAACCTTCTCATGTCAAACTGATTAGAAAACATTGATCTCAAAGGGATATAAATTAGAAGCCAAACACATTTCTGAGTGGGGGACGACTACAAAAACTCATTTCCACTGTTTCATGTCTACACCCACAGTGCTGGATGGATGAACAGATTACGTGTTGCATGTAGAAGAATATTTCAGCACTGAATTCAGTTTTACATTTCTGCTTGAACACATGTAGGTGGATGTCGTCTCCTTTGATCAGAGGCAGGCTAACAGCTTCCTCTGCTTTGTCTTTGTGCTCGACTACATCCTCAACCGCTCTGTGCACGATTCATTTATTGGCTTCTCTAACAGGGAACACACAGATAAACATTGTTACATACAAATGAAGCAATGCAACAGATGTAGTGGGCGTTCATAGCTCAGGCTGATTTGCAGCCAGTGTTTGTGGGTTACACCGTTATATGTGAACACATGAGCTGATAAAAGGATCAACAGACAGCATGTGACTGCACATTAAATGCAAATGAACTTTCTGTGGTGTGTTTGAACGTCAATAGCTTTTTGTCAAATGAAACATCCGAACAAAGCATTAGAGAGTGAAATGATAGATAAGAATGACAGAGGATTATTACACAAATGAAAGGATTACATGAATTAAAGCAGCCTAACGAGAGCAGAGTGTTTGTATCAGCGAGTCCATCAGCTGCTGTGTCAACACTGTGACTCTTCACCTGCTGCTTCACTTGATCCCAACAACAAACAGCAGAAACACTCGGATGCTCGTCTTCTTCTCTGGTCCTTGATAATAATCTTAAATGCAGCGATTTCTCAATGCAGTTTGCTCCACACACCGCTGTGCACAAACACAATGCAGCTGGAGAGACTCAGAAATAGACTTTTAAATGAATGTAAATAAAGGCCACAAGATGTTTTCATTCATTTCTTTAGTTTTGTGGTGAATTTTGCAGGGATTTAAGAAGAGTTGGACTTTTTACTATTGAACTGTTTCAACATTTTAGAAGCTGATTTGACTGAATGTTTAAGCTGGATTATGTTCATAAAATAATACATGAAAAATAAAAAAGGTTTTCAGCATTTGTTCTACAGAATTGTATTCATCAGAAAATATATTCAGACTTTCTTTTTGAAAAATAGAATTACTGTTATTATGTCACTGGATGGGGAAAATCTATTAAACAAATAGTACTAATAAAATATCAATATAAAGAAAATAAGGATCATTTGTGGGGTTTTCTAACGTCCTGTACAGACCTGTACATCCACACACATCTAAATAAATGAGGGAAACTGTTTATTTAACTGATATGTCACATTTATTCTATTTTTTTCTGAAATCCATCACCTGATTTATATTTTGCAAAAATATAGAAAAATATTTTTCTTTTCTTTTTTTTCTAAACGTCTGTTTCTGTTTATTTTTCTATTTTCTTTAAGTAATGCACAACATGTCATTTTGCATTAATAGTCAAAAAGATTACACTAATATTTATTTCAGGATGCGGTTTCATGTTTTTCTGTGTAAAATCTATTTGTTCCGGTAGTTTTTAGAATCAGTTCAGGTTTGATTTCTTCGGCAAACAGGAGGCGGATCAGTGTCTCTAATAAATGTAAATGCGTCGCTTCTGTCTTTCTAATCCTCCATCATTAAACATTCATCTCCTCCCTGAAGCTCCGACTTCTCTCCTGCTCCGCCGCTTTTCACAGCCTCGTCCACTTGACTCTCGGACCCGCCTCCGTCCTTTTTAACGGCCTGTTCAGGACGGAGGACGCACTCTCCGCATGTCCGTCCTCATGTATTTTTCATGCTGCTAAAGCCTCGCCGGTCGGCCCGAGCAGCTCCGGGCTCCCGCTCCCTTCTAACGGCGTTCATGGACCCAAAGCCTCCGCTTTAACGAGCTGCATCCGCTGAATCCTCCGCGAGGACGCAAACCTGGAACTTCTGCTGCTTCTCTCTCTCCCTTCGTCTCCTGTCGCGTCATGTCATTTGGCACAAACGCAAAAATGGGATTCTCTGTGCGGGACATCCTCGATCTTCCCGACCGGTCCGGGAGATGCGGGTCTGGCACCGAGGAGACCGAGGAGGACGATGCTGAAGAGGCCTCGGCGGAGGCTCCGGGGACGGAAAACACGCAGAAACTGGGATTTAGCGGATTGTGTGAGCGCGGCGGTGAAGGCTTGGAGAGGTGGAGCTGCGCAACTGGTAACCTGCATTTTTCATGTAAGGACTGTTGCTTTTAACAAAAAAAAAGGTTTAAGTGCATTTAATCCCATTTATCTCTGCTTATTTACTCCATTCTGACTTTCAAATCTATATTTCCTGCTCGTGCGTAATTTCCAAATAAGAAAATAGTGGAAGTAATTTACTAAAACAGGGATTTATGCTCCAAATATTTGGGGAAAATTAGTTCAGTTTTATCAGCAAGTTTCTATAAATGACATCAGATCATAATTTAATCTTTTATTCCTGACAGAACAACATCATATACCTGTGCGTAATTGCGTCTTTTCTCTTTGTCTCCTGAAAACAATTAAATGAAGTAACCCTCTTATTATTTATCTTATCAGGTAAACTCAGTCCTGTAGGAATAACTGCTGCTGATGTTTAGTTTTACTCTTTTATAATGGGGACAGCAGGTGGAGATCTGTTCGATCTAAAGAATAAAACATCTGAAAAATCATCTGAACTGGAGTTATCTGTATCTGTATCATTAATTGATTCCAGTGGGGTAAGATGACTTTTTTTCAGTCGTCTTATAGAAGTGAATGGTAGTGGACGTTTCTGAGTTCCACAGAGTAATCAGAGTCCTGAGAGTAATCTGATTACTTTTCATTTCCCCCCCTGCAGTACATGGTCTGTCTTTAGAGTCCCGTACCTATCCTAAGTCCCCCGAGCTCTCCATGGATGAGTCCCCAGACGCAGATCGGGAGCAGCCGTGCGGAGAGGCGCAGAAGAGCCGCGGCAGGAAGCGGCGCGTCCTCTTCTCCAAGGCGCAGACTCTGGAGCTGGAGCGCCGCTTCAGGCAACAGCGCTACCTGTCCGCCCCGGAGAGGGAGCACCTGGCCGGACTGATCCGCCTCACCCCGAACCAGGTGAAGATCTGGTTCCAGAACCACCGGTACAAGATGAAGCGCGCCCGGGCCGAGCGCAGCCTGGACGCGCTGCAGCTGCTGCCGGCCCGTCGGGTCGCCATCCCGGTCCTGGTGCGGGACGGGAAGCCCTGCGACCGGATCACAGCGCACGACCTGGAGGCGACGTTCAGGTCCGGCCTCAGCCTGCCTCTGTGCGCCTACTCCCCGCTGCTGCACCCCGCGTACGGCCCGGACCACAGCGGCCTCCCGCAGCAGCATCCTGGGATGCAGCAGCTGGCGCACATGTACCACTGGAGCTGGTGAACTAGACTCTGACTGACGGAGACGTCTGCAAACATGCTGAGAAGTCCACTTTATAAGCTCGTATTCGGCCTTAAAATAAAAGTTTTTGGATGAATGTTCCGCAGAATAGCCGCCGTTAAATGATAAAGAGCACATTGGAAGGAGTAAGAAAAATTAGTATTTTTTTAAATTGAGTTTGGTACGTTTCAGGATAATTACTATTCTCTAGAAAGGGTGAGTCTGGAAACAAAGCAGAATAAAACGAGAAAGCTGAAGCTCCTATTAAATTCCATATGAACCATTTTAAGGACATTAATTCATGTAAAGTAAAAAATCTCCCACAAATAAAACTTTTTTTTTCTGAAGCGGCCTATAAAGTAGCTGATTTTCATTTTATCCTTCATCACAAACAAAAAGAGACTTTTGTCCTCATCCAGACGCGCAACACGTTTAAAACTAAACCGAGCCTCAAGTCGAAGTGATGAAGAAAAAAAACAGATGAAACCAAATGTTTTGTTGTTTTTTTGCTACTTTGTGAGATTTATTTTATTGTTTACGCCGTGTTTGCTGCAAAAATGTCACTTTTACCGCAAGATTTTCTTTTCTCACTGTGTTTTTTAAAAATCTATTTATATTGTTGACCGGTGAGTTGGTTTGTAATAAACTCAGTATTTATGACGGTAAATAAACGTTGGAGCAGGTGTGAGTGGTTTGATTCCAGCCTGTCCTGAGGAACATGAGGAGATGATCTATTTTTTTAACTGACTGATGCGCACAATGTGCTTTTTATTGTGATCTGCTGCGTTTCTCGCTTCTTATCCTGTAAATAAATAGTCTTAAGTCAAAAAATTTCAATAAATTGATTGAAGCTTTGGACACTTTGCTTCGTAAACTGAGTCCTAAAATCCCTCATTTGATATAATATTTCAATCTACAACATAAATGTGCCTAAAAAGTGTCATCATTAGTATCTGTTACTTGAAGGACAAATATGAGGAGTTTGTACAGCTGAGATTTTGTTCAAAAATTTTACTGTGAAAGAAAAAACAAATCATTTGAAGAGAAATCAAGCTACCAGAAATAACATTTTAAGAATAAATGCTTATTGATTAAAGGCAAATGTATAATATTTTCAAAACAAATGTTTTCCAAAAAACGACATTTTTTGAATGGAGTTTGGTTTGTTTCAGAACAGATTAAAATTTAGTGCAGTGTTTTTATAGGATCTTAGCATTATGGTGATGATCCATTGTGGCCTTTTTTCTGTCTTCTGAAGCATAAACATCAGAGCAGGCAGAGGATCATAAGCAGCATTTAGGGCAGTGGTTCTCAAACTGGGGATTAAGACCCCCCAAGGAGTCCCAGGATGAATCTGATGGGTCCCCACATGATTAAAAGGAGAAACAGAGATTTTCCTTGTTAATTTTTTTTTTTTTACTTGTTAAAATCTGAATATTTACTCGTTTTCATGTCTGTGAATAGATGAAAAATTATCTTACCAGCACTCTGTCACAAAGCACAGGAACCACAGAGAGGTCACCTGTTTGGCCTCTCAAGGACAAATTCAGTCCTTTAAAACAACGAACTCTGCAGATGCAAGTGGTAATAACTTTCTATGAGAAGACCAGGGATATGAAAGGTCCTTCACTACCTGATCTGGAGGCAGTGGATCATAGCTAGTCTGAATAATATCACCAAATTAGAAGATGCTGAGCCGACATGTTGCACATTTCTGCATAAATTTGTGTTTAATCAAATCAGCACCTGACAAATCGGCACAAAGCTCATGGAAGACGAGGACCGGGGGTCTGGCAGGGGCCCAGCAGCTCATTCTCTAACATAACCAGGCTCATCTTCAGTGAGATGAGAAGCTTGACACCACTCTCATGTCTAACCCAGCCTGTTAGCTTAGCTTAGCATAAAGGCTGCAGACAGGAAGAAACAACTCGATTCTTCTGCTGAACAGTAAAAAGCCAAGAAACGGTCCAACACAAAACCTGCAGCAAAACCACAAAGCGTCCTCTAAACTCCTTGATTGTACACAAATGAAACCAATACCAATGGATTTCTAGCATTTATGCTAAGCTAACTAGCCCCACTTTCATCTTTCCTGTACAGGCGGCCATGTTGATCTCTGCAATAAATCTGCTTCACACTGGAAATGTTTTCACTTCAGATAAACACAGAGTTCTTCAGCAACGTGTCGACCTCAGTGAAACGTAGCTCAGATCTCATCCCGGTTTTGGCTCCTCCAGGCCGAACATCTTTGTTTTGACAGGATTACTGCAGCAGACGACTTCATTCAGTGGCAGAAAAGCAGCTATTTACTGTGTTGGGACAAAGAAAAGAAAGACCCCCCTCCTGTGTGTGTGTTTGTGGAGGGGTCGGAGGTCAGCTCATCTCAGAGGGGTGATGTCATGGAGGGGGGGTCAACGCTTTGAGACAGTTATAATGTGTCACCTGCTGCTATAAAAGCAAAGAAGAAGAAGAAGAAGAAGAAGACGAGGGGGAGGAACCGAGGTTTGGAGTTTAAAGGAGCAGTCTGGTGATTCGGGCCGGTTTCAGTTTGTTGAACACTCAACGTGAGCGTCTTACTTTCTGCTGGTGCACATATTTGAGAGCAGAAGATAAGTCTGGTCACATTGTACACTTTTCTTCATGTCAGCAAATCCCATGAAAAGACCAAAACCAACATCGAATCCCGCTAACGAGGAGTCTGAGTATGAAAGCCCGATACATGTGAGTCCTCTGAGCTGCACAGCTGCATTATTGTCCCAAAACTGATAAAAACACAGCAGGGAGCCGCTCCGTGGCGCACGGTGACATCTTGAAATTGTTGCTAAATTGGATATATTTGTCACTGCTCACTGCTAACACTACTGCTATAAATTTGTTGGAATAAATATGTATATTTGAAGAGTTCATTTGCAAAAACAGAGAACTCCATTTTAGTAGATTATCAGAAAACTTATTTTTTTTGCTTTAGATAATATCAAACTGAAGCTGAGTGGATTTGACTCAGCAGAAATGACAAAAATAGAGATAACTTAAGATTGATTGATATTGTCTCAGGTAGACGTCTGAAGGTTTGTGAATATGGAGTTATCTGTTTTTACAAACGAACTCTTCATTTTTTAGGTGAGTTGAACTGTTTTTAGATCAGTTTGGTCACGTTTGCAGTCGCTCCTGCAGCAACATGTTGACGGTTTATTAATTACTTGCTCAACATTTATTTCCTTTTCGCTGTCAAGCAAAACTTTTTGCTTGATACGTGAGTTTTAAAGACAGGTGTTGTTGGGATCTGGACACATTAGGTGCTCAGCTCAGCAGTTTTTAGATTTTAACCTGATAACTGAAGCATTTTCAAGTTATTTCGGAGTAAAATGAGTCTAAACTGTGACACACTGTGCTGTAGGCAAAGTAAAGTCATGCCACCTTCCTCTGGTGCTGAGCCCATATTAACCCTATTCAGGACTTTTGGACCCCAGGCTATCTGGTTTAGGTGACAGGTATTGGTTTTTTTTTTGTTTTTTTTTGAAGATTTTTTTTTTTAAGATAAAAAGAAGGACATTTGTCAGGCAGTTGGAACCAAAAATAAGTAAACTTATCAGAAAATGTATTTAACAAAGTATAAAAGTCTATAATGAATGCCAACAAATATTTTGCACACATTCTTTCCAATGGACCCTGAAAGACCTTCTACGTTTGGCAACATGAAAGTCCTGAATAGGGCTAAGCATCACAGTGAGTGCAGGTCATCAGTGGTTCTCAAACCGTGTGTCTTGGAATTAGTTCTGTTAAGGAGCATTTATGACTAAAATCATATGTAAGCGTGTCTTGGAAACATTTGTTTACATAAATATAATTTAACAGTATTTTCAGTGACTGATTCATGAGAGATGAGATGCAGATGGATGCTGTAGAGGAGAAAAACTTCCCTTTTGAAGTCACAAAACACAACAACTCAGTTAAATAACCTGTAATAATCAGACTAAATCTGTTGCTTGTGTTTCTGCAAGCAAGACAAAAGTGTTGGTATTAATAATTCAATCTGGCCGTGCAAGACATAACCTAGTTTTAAACAAATGAGAGGTGAGAACACCGAAGCCACAGACTGTTTATAAAGATGGAGGTGGCCACTGTGGCGTCACCCTCTGGTTTGTGGACGAATGTTTTAAAGCCTCACGTTTGGAATTCAATATGTTGGGATTTCTGATTAGGATTAAAGGACTTCCTCATCATTAAGTGATCTATTGATTATTAAAATGGCTTATTTAGGCCCAAAACTGGCAGTTATTTCCATTATCAATAAACCTGCTTCTTGTTTCACTGACATTTCATCAGAATATTGTCTTGTTTTGTCCAACCAACATTTCAGATCTCAAGGATTTTGGGTTTATAGCAGCCTCTTACCCTCCTCTGAGATCTCCTTCCAGGGGTTGAGCAGGTACATGAAGGCAGCGTCGATGTCCTCGTCCTCATTGAAGGGAAACGTCCCATTCAGACTGTTGAGACAATGATGCCGACACTGGAGATCGTCGACCATCGAGTGGCAGAACGACTTCTCTCTGATGATACGGGTGAAACCGAAGTCACAGACCTTCACCTGGTTACAGAAAAGAGTGTTTGTTAAAGTTGCAGTGACACAGCTGCTATCATGTCCTAAAAGCACCGTGCTTCATTGTCTGTTTTCCTCAAAATGGGCCCAAAATGTACAAAATGAACATCATGCTTTATTAAAGGACACTTGGAACGAGCAGCTGAGACCATAAACTCATCAGGAAAATGTTTACCAAAGTAACACATGAAAGGAGAAGTAGGATCATTTTTACATAAACTTCTATACAATCTGACTTTTTGTTGTGATCAGAGGAGTTTCCTCCTGCTGGCTGGTAGATGAAATACAGGTTCAAGGCATCTTCAAGCTGGCCCTACATGAAGGCTACATCTGTCTTTTATCTACAGTCTATGGCTGAAAGCTAAAGTCTTTCCTTATTATTACTTTGAGCTAAATAATGAGC